TACTATTCCGAGCAGTAAGATGTTGGTAATATTACCAATACTATTCCGAGCAGTAAGATGTTGGTAATATTACCAATACTATTCCGAGCAGTACGATGTTGTCAATATTACCAATACTATTCCGAACAGTACGATGTTGGTATTATTACCAATACTATTCCGAGCAGTAAGATGTTGGTAATATTACCAATACTATTCCGAGCAGTACGATGTTGTCAATATTACCAATACTATTCCGAACAGTACGATGTTGGTATTATTACCAATACTATTCCGAGCAGTAAGATGTTGGTAATATTACCAATACTATTCCAAACAGTACGATGTTGGTAACATACCCAATACTATTTCGAACAGTACGATGTTGGCACTGAGACGCAAGGCTGTTCCGAACAGTATGATATTGGCACTGAGACCAAGGCTGTTCCGAACAGTTCGATGTTGGTAATATTACCAATACTATTCCAAACAGTACGATGTTGGCACTGAGACCAAGGCTATTCCGAACAGGACGACGTTAGTACTGAGACGCAAGGCTATTCCGAACAGTACGATGTTAGTACTAATACCAATACTATTCCGAACAGTACAATGTTAGTCCTGAGACCAAGGCTATTCCGAGCAGTACGATGTTAGTACTAATACCAATACTATTCCGAACAGTACGATGTTAGTACTAATACCAATTCTATTCCGAACAGTACGATGTAAGTACTAATACCAATACTATTCAAAGCAGTACGATGCTAGAACCGAGACCAGGGCTATTCCGAACAGTACGATGTTGGTACTGACACTAATATTATTCCGAACAGTACGATGTCAGTACTAATACCAATACTATTCCGAACAGTACGATGTCATTACTAATACAATACTTTTTCGAACAGTACGATGTCAGTACTAATACCACTACTATTCCGAACAGTACGATGTCAGTACTAATACCAATATTATTCCGAGCAGTACGATGTTAGTACTAATACCAATATTATTCCGAGCAGTACGATGTCAGTACTAATACCACTACTATACCGAAAAATACGATGTCAGTACTAATACAATACCATTCCGAACAGAACGATGTTAGTACTAACACCAATACTATACCGAAAAATACGATGTCAGTACTAATACAATACTATTCCGAACAGTACGATGTTTGTACTAACACCAATACTATTCCGAACAATACGATGTTAGTACTAACACCAATACTATTCCGAACAATACGATGTTGGTACTTATACAATACTATTCCGAACAGTACGATGTTAGTACTAACACCAATACAATTCCGAACAGTACGATGTTAGTACTAACGCCAATACTATTCCGAACAATACGATGTTGGTACTTATACAATACTATTCCGAACAGTACGATGTTAGTACTAACACCAATACAATTCCGAACAGTACGATGTCAGTACTAACATCAATACTATTCCGAACAGTACGATGTCAGTACTAACACCAATACAATTCCGAACAGTACGATGTCAGTACTAACACCAATACTATTCCGAACAGTACGATGTTAGTACTAACACCAATACAATTCCGAACAGTACGATGTCAGTACTAATACCAAAACTATTCCGAACAGTACGATTTTAGTACTTATACCAATACAATTCCGAGCAGTACGATGTTAGTACCAATACCAATACTCAAATTTCCACCTATTACCGTAATAACATTACAGTTGTTCAAGCCAACCTGTGTTAAAATGTCTCACTAAACTAACGTGGGATAACGTCATATAATCGGGTGGATGGGATTTTATTGAACAAAATAATTTGTCCCCGAATTAATTCTTTTTTAAAAAAAAGTATGCTTCAGACTGTTGGGAATTATTACCCGCCACAAAAGTACATTGTTGCAAGCTGTTTTTCTTAAATAAAATTCAGGCTCACAGTTTTAAATACATATACAAAAATATCTGGTCACGAATATGGAAAGGTTTTGTCGCTTTTATCCAAGTTCCAGAGTTATAATTCTATACACATGCTCCGTGTGGCACTGTGGCACTCAGCCGAGTCCTGTTCAGCGTTCACTGATTATGAACTAGTAATTATTCCTTCGCTAGTTGTTTAAATTATGAAGGAAATTAGAGTCGCCTCAACTGAAGCGTGTGGGCACATGATTGTTTTGCTATGTCAGACTTTGAAAAGGTGCATGCATATCAATACCTTGCCTCGGGATGACTTGTGATAGTCTGCAATATTACCGCTATCGTCTGGACGCCTGTGATTATTACAATTATTGCATGGCGGCCTGAAGTAGTCAGCAATATTACAGTTATATCATGGCGGTCAGTAATAGTCAGCAACATTACAGCTATATCACGATCTTTGCAGTAGTCAGCAATATTACAATTATTACACGGCGGAATGTAGTAGTCAGCAATATTACAGCTATATCACGATCTTTGCAGTAGTCAGCAATATTACAATTATCACACGGCGGAATGTAGTAGTCAGCAATATTACAGTTATATCACGATCTTTACAGTAGTCAGCAATATTACAATTATTACACGGCGGAATGTAGTTGTCAGCAATATTACAGTTATATCACGATCTTTGTAATAGTCAGCAATATTACAATTATTACACGGCGGAATGTAGTAGTCGGCAATATTACAGTTATATCACGATCTTTGCAGTAGTCAGCAATATTACAATTATTACACGGCGGAATGTAGTAGTCAGCAATATTACAGTTATATCACGATCTTTGTAATAGTCAGCAATATTACAATTATTACACGGCGGTCTGTAGTAGTCAGCAATATTACAATTATTACACGGCGGAATGTAGTAGTCAGAAATATTACAGTTATATCACGATCTTTGCAATAGTCAGCAATATTACAGTTATATCACGATCTTTGAAGTAGTCAGCAATATTACAGTTATATCACGGTGGTCTGCATTAGAGAGCAATATTACATCTTTATCACGGCGGACTGCATTAAACAGCAATGTTACAGCTATATCACGGCGGACTGCATTAGTCAGCAATATTCCAGTTATATCACGGTGGACTGCATTAGTCAGCAATATTACAGCTATATCACGGTGGACTGTAGTGGTCAGGGATATTACAGTTATATCGAGGCGGAGTGCATTAGTCAGCAATATTACAGTTATATCACGGTGGACTGCATTAGTCAGCAATATTACAGTTATATCACGGTGGACTGCATTAGTCAGCAATATTACAGTTATATCACGGTGGACTGCATTAGTCAGCAATATTACAGTTATATCACGGTGGACTGCATTAGTCAGCAATATTACAGCTATATCACGGCGGACTGCATTAGTCAGCAATATTACAGTTATATCACGGTGGACTGCATTAGTCAGCAATATTACAGTTATATCACGGTGGACTGCATTAGTCAGCAATATTACAGTTATATCACGGTGGACTGCATTAGTCAGCAATATTACAGTTATATCACGCGGGCTGCATTAGTCAGCAATATTCCAGTTATATCACGGTGGACTGCATTAGTCAGCAATATTACAGTTATATCACGGTGGACTGCATTAGTCAGCAATATTACAGCTATATCACGGTGGACTGTAGTGGTCAGGGATATTACAATTATATCGAGGCGGAGTGCATTAGTCAGCAAAATTACAGTTATATCACGGTGGACTGCATTAGTCAGCAATATTACAGTTATATCACGGTGGACTGCATTAGTCAGCAATATTACAGTTATATCACGGTGGACTGCATTAGTCAGCAATATTACAGTTATATCACGGTGGACTGCATTAGTCAGCAATATTACAGTTATATCACGGCGGACTGCATAAGTCAGCAATATTACAGCTATATCACGGTGGACTGTAGTGGTCAGGGATATTACAGTTATATCGAGGCGGAGTGCATTAGTCAGCAATATTCCAGTTATATCACGGTGGACTGCATTAGTCAGCAATATTCCAGTTATATCACGGTGGACTGCATTAGTCAGCAATATTACAGTTATATCACGGTGGACTGCATTAGTCAGCAATATTACAGTTATATCACGGTGGACTGCATTAGTCAGCAATATTACAGTTATATCACGGCGGACTGCATTAGTCAGCAATATTACAGTTATATCACGGTGGACTGCATTAGTCAGCAATATTACAGTTATATCACGGTGGACTGCATTAGTCAGCAATATTACAGCGATATCACGGTGGACTGTAGTGGTCAGGGATATTACAGTTATATCGAGGCGGAGTGCATTAGTCAGCAATATTACAGTTATATCACGGTGGACTGCATTAGTCAGCAATATTACAGTTATATCACGGTGGACTGCATTAGTCAGCAATATTACAGCTATATCACGGTGGACTGTAGTGGTCAGGGATATTACAGTTATATCGAGGCGGAGTGCATTAGTCAGCAATAGTGCAGTTATATCACGGCGGTCTGCATTAGTCAGCACTATTACAGCTATATCACAACGGACCGCATTAATCAGCAATATTACAGTTATATCACAGGGGCTTGTAGTCGTTAGCAATATTACAGTTATATTCCGACAGACTGTAGTAGTCGACACGGAGTAGCCTTCAACAAGAATGCCCACGCCCACATTCGGACGTTCATCATTAACGGCCGTAATCACTGATGATGCGTTTGATAACATCACCTTAGAAGCAATCTGGAATATAATATGAGAGATAGCAAACAAATATAATGAGTCGGAATTATATAAATGAGTTCAGTGTCAGATGTTGAGTACAATTCCGATCAAATGATGAACAAATAATTGGTTTATGATAATCCACGGAATCGGGATGTTTGATCAATGTTGTAGTTCGTCACGGATGTTGATCGGGAGTTCATGAAATCAGCAGCCAACCTATAAGTGCGTCAACTGCAACTCTAAGGAATAGAGCGTAGTGACTAGATGTTGTTAATATACATGAGATGACTATCCGTATACACAAGAACGCTTTCGTACATACTCACAGTTCGACTGACCACTCCGACATAGGTAAGCCTTGGGGCGTATTCCAAATCCCTGCTTCAATCACAGTGACAAGTGAGCAGCCGGTTCACAGTTGTTCCATGCAATGAAGAAATAGTGGAGGCATTGCCCATCAACTTTGGGCGCTATCAAACGCCTGCACTGGTGCATGTATCCGCATTCATTGGATGTCTGAGGAGGTCGCTCGGTTGTTGTCAGAAGGAAACGTCATGACCTTCAACTGTCGGGGTCACCTTATTCCCGTGTCCAGGAAATTGGAATATGATCAACATTGACCAATCGGCTGATCGCAGAACCAAAGCAGGCTCAGACAGAACAAGTACATAAGGCACACACGTATATTATAGTGTATGGATGGAGGGGTAATGGTAGAAAGGTGGCTGGGGTGGAGAGGGGGATATTATAGTGTAAGGAAATGAAAGAGAGGCATGGGATGAGTAGAGACATGACACTGAGTTTGTTTGTTCGTTCTTCGAAGCTCCATGTAGCAATATTCTAGCGATATGACGAGGGTCTGTAAATATTCAAATTTGGACCAGACAACCCAGTGATTGATATCATGAGCATCGATCCGCGAAATTGAGATACGATGACAAACATCAACCAAGCCAGCGAGCCTGACCACCCGATCCCGTTGGTCGCCTCTTACGACACGCATTGTCTCCTTTTACGACAAGAATGGGTTGCTGAAGACCTGTTCTACCCCGGATCTTCACGGGCCGGATGTAAAAGACTAAAGAAAGTGTGATAATAAATGCACGAAGACATGTTATTCTTGACTTTACTCCTGGCCTTCCGACCAATGTAACCAATCTCCACACAACCAAGCGTCAGTGCTTTCACAATTGCAGACAAGCACTTCATACAAGTTAATTTATTAATGGAATAAAGAGGAATATGGACTCTTAAGTAAACATATTAGCTGAGACTATTCCCGGATCTTAAAGGGGCCTCAAAATCGATTTGTGTCCGAGGCTAGAGTCCTTGGGTGATTATCAATCAATAACCATGTTTGTCCGAGATGTGATAATTCAGAGTCGACGGTCCGATAAACTGTAACGCTCAGACACCCTTTCAACAATTACATCGATTTTAGGGCCACTTATTTGCCGAATTAAATCATTATTTTTTTGGTTTTGTAGCATTGTTGTTTTCTTCCGATACAATACAGTTGATACCGATTCTACAACTGATTTGTTGAGTAAAGTGTTGTTCAATAGAGACAATCGTCCATGTTTGTACGACGGGGTTGTAAAGAGAAATCAATTACGTTAGCTGAAAACCACCAACAACGTTTAACATATTGGCAAGCGCGTCTTCAAAAAATGATATTTTTTGTTCGTAATATATTTCAGGCTTCTAGTAAAGCCGTTGTACAATGCAAGGCACATTCAGTCAAATAGGCTTATTCGAATACCGACTACTCCGTTAATTCTGACAGAGAACTTTCAATTAACTCGCCCTGATTAAACATATATGGTTATTAGCAGGTATCGGTGGATAGTAATGTCAATGTGTGTATGCATATACAAGTATGCTCACTCACTCACTCACTCACTCACTCTGGGTTTCCGGATTACCGAAATGCGTGTTCAAGTGGTTTGATGGTATATCTGAACATGAAGAAGATTAATATTTCCTGGTGACGTCACGTCGTCGGCAAACTTTAGTACATTATATATATTATATATTAGAGTAAACACTACCTGGCCCTCTGTTCCTACACTTCACATTAATCAATACGCACAAGCTAACACTCACAGACAAGCTGGCTAGCTGGCCGGCTGGTGTTGCATTTACAATGCAAACATAATTTAGCTTCAGCGGTTTTTAAATTTATAGCCCAGTCTAAAATAAATCGCATTTTAATCATGTTTACATATAGTGTGGTCGAGCTAAAGTTAAAAGCTGTCAGTATAACGATGCACGAATGGATACATTACAACATGAACAGCGAGCGGTGGTGTTGTCTCGACACTGCTTCATTCCATCAATAGTTGGTTGAAACAGTAGCTGGGTTATGCACATGTTTCCCTGTCTTCTGGAGGGCAGGGCGCCAGACAGCGAGAGCACCAAGCCCCTAGTCTTTGACCTTGAAGGATGGTTTAAGGTTCCAACGCAAAAATGATTTTACGTGCTCAACAAAGTAACGCTACTACTACTACTACTACTACTACTGCTGCTGCTGCTGCTGCTGCTGCTGCTACTACTACTACTACTACTACTGCTGCTGTTGCTACTACTACTACTGCTGCTGCTGCTACTACTACTATTACTACTACTACTGCTGCTGCTGCTACTACTACTACTACTACTACTACTGCTGCTGCTGCTGCTACTACTGCTACTGCTGCTGCTGCTGCTACTACTACTACTGCTACTACTACTACTGCTACTGCTGCTACTACTACTATCCCTGCTACCACTACTACTGCTGATACTACTATTACTGCTGCTACTGTTACCAATACTATTATTACCACTACAACTACTACTGCTACTACTACTGCTATTACTACAACTACTACTACTACTACTACTACTACTACTACTACTAACAGTATATCAGACATAATTAAATGTGTTTGACGTAGTACTACTTAACTACAAATCATTCTGAGAAATGGCGAGGTGAGGTGACGTGGGGTTTAACATCACGTTAAATATATGTGCATGTATGTGTGTGTCTGGCTGCTTGTACTGGTTCGGAGGTATTGTCAGTTTTCATGTCAACCACGCTGAGATGCCAGTTGAACATGCTTACCCAACACTAACACATACTGTTTATCCCCTTAATGTCGATCACCAGGAATGGTAGCAATAAATACCATCTTATGTTTAACGGTTTTTTTATTTCAAGCCGCCAGGGGATTAAACCACCGACCTTCTACTCTCCAGACAGACCTACTCTCGACTGTGGGGAGATACTAGGAAGGTGGTATATGGCTGTAGGGAGATGCTAGGAAGGTGGTACATGGCTGTAGGGAGATGCTAGGGAGGTGGTACATGGCTGTAGGGAGATGCTAGGAAGATGGTTCATGGCTGTAGGGAGATGCTAGGAAGGTGGTACATGGCTGTAGGGAGATGCTAGGAAGGTGGTACATGGCTGTAGGGAGATGCTAGGAAGGTGGTACATGGCTGTAGGGAGATGCTAGGGAGGTGGTACATGGCTGTAGGGAGATGCTAGGAAGGTGGTACATGGCTGTAGGGAGATGCTAGGAAGGTGGTACATGGCTGTGGGGAGATGCTAGGAAGGTGGTACATGGCTGTAGGGAGATGCTAGGAAGGTGGTACATGGCTGTAGGGAGATGCTAGGAAGGTGGTACATGGCTGTGGGGAGATGCTAGGAAGGTGGTACATGGCTGTAGGGAGATGCTAGGAAGGTGGTACATGGCTGTGGAGAGATGCTAGGAAGGTGGTACATGGCTGTAGGGAGATGCTAGGAAGGTGGTACATGGCTGTAGGGAGATGCTAGGAAGGTGGTACATGTCTGTAGGGAGATGCTAGGAAGATGGCACATGGCTGTAGGGAGAAGCTAGGAAGGTGGTACATGGCTGTGGGGAGATGCTAGGAAGGTGGTACATGGCTGTAGGGAGATGCTAGGAAGGTGGTTCATGGCTGCAGGGAGATGCTAGGAAGGTGGTACATGGCTGTGGGGAGATACTAGGAAGGTGGTACATGGCTGTAGGGAGAAGCTAGGAAGGTGGTACATGGCTGTGGGGGAATCGTAGGAAGGTGGTACATGGCTGTGGGGAGATGCTAGGAAGGTGGTACATGGCTGTGGGGAGATGCTAGGAAGGTGGTACATGGCTGTGGGGAGATGCTAGGAAGGTGGTACATGGCTGTGGGGAGATGCTAGGAAGGTGGTACATGGCTGTAGGGAGATGCTAGGAAGATGGTACATGGCTGTAGGGAGATGCTAGGAAGATGGTACATGGCTGTAGGGAGATCCTAGGAAGGTGGTTCATGGCTGTAGGGAGATGCTAGGAAGGTGGTGCATGGCTGTAGGGAGATGCTAGGAAGGTGGTTCATGGCTGTAGGGAGATGCTAGGAAGGTGGTACATGGCTGTAGGGAGATGCTAGGAAGGTGGTACATGGCTGTAGGGAGATGCTAGGAAGATGGTACATGGCTGTAGGGAGATGCTAGGAAGGTGGTACATGGCTGTGGGGAGATGCTAGGAAGGTGGTACATGGCTGTAGGGAGATGCTAGGAAGATGGTACATGGCTGTAGGGAGATGCTAGGAAGATGGTACATGGCTGTAGGGAGATCCTAGGAAGGTGGTTCATGGCTGTAGGGAGATGCTAGGAAGGTGGTGCATGGCTGTAGGGAGATGCTAGGAAGGTGGTTCATGGCTGTAGGGAGATGCTAGGAAGGTGGTACATGGCTGTAGGGAGATGCTAGGAAGGTGGTACATGGCTGTAGGGAGATGCTAGGAAGATGGTACATGGCTGTAGGGAGATGCTAGGAAGGTGGTACATGGCTGTAGGGAGATGCTAGGAAGGTGGTACATGGCTGTAGGGAGATGCTAGGAAGGTGGTACATGGCTGTAGGGAGATGCTAGGAAGGTGGTACATGGCTGTAGGGAGATGCTAGGAAGGTGGTACATGGCTGTAGAGAGATGCTAGGAAGGTGGTACATGTCAATACCTAGTCGCAACTGTGAAGAGACACAGTAACGTTCACCCCTATCTCTGCTATCTATTACCACAAGGTCGTTGTGTATATCGTCGTTTTACGTCACATTTATTTGTTTATTACTTCATTCTGATATATTCTACTTCTACTAATAATATGACTGTACGTTAGAGGGGCGGTTGGGTAGCCGAGTAGTTAAAGCGTTGTACTCATTGTAAGTGAGTTCCCGAGTCTTTGTAAATATTCACTCGTTATAATTCATCTTATTTAACTTAACATCTTAATTTGGGGCGCTGTGTTCTCTGTGTCATAAACACAGGACGGTAACCATAGAACACACTATAACACCCTATGCGGCACATCATATAACACACTATAACACACTATGCGGCACATCATATAACACACTATAACACACTATGCGGCACATCATGTACCACACACTATACGGCACATGGCATGTTTTACAGTGCTATCTTAAGTTCAGACAATCTCTTCAACTAACTACGCAGATATAGTTAAATCATGTCACGTTCAGTCCGTTATTGCCAAAAGCCAGCTAGTTTGTTCTCTCCATG